AGTTTAGTTAGAAAGCTTGCTGTGTATGAATACACGGTAGAAGTAAAATCAACAAGGTGATACAAGCTCGCCACTTTTCAGTAATTCTGACAGCTTTAATTTCATTACACTTGGGCATAGAAAATAAGAGGCGCACTTATGTTGCAGTGATCGCAGCCGCTGATTATTACGGCAAAAAACAGAGACAGGGTGCAGAGAACAAAAACGCAAATAGGCACCCGGAACCAGCAAAGCATAAGTTGCGCGCCAACTAGCGCCAGCGAACTTGATGCTGCCGCAGTTTCTCGATTGATTGATCATGTACGTGTTTATGTTTTCAATCCACACTCCGCAGAAACACCGCTGTCAATAGACCAGCCACCAATCGGTATCCTGGGTGGTTCTGTGCGTCTCAACTGTGCGCACAACTTTGGCAGCTTGCCCCTGTACAGCTTCAAGTGGTTCAAGGACGACAAAGTATTATACACGTTTATTCCCCGCAACAGGCCACCGGGAGAAATGTACAGCGTGACAGGAGTGACAGTGGATGTAAGTATATATTTGGCATGTCCCGCAGAAAACTATCTTTACAGTTATTTAAGCGTTGCCCTTCTTCTTCCCCTCTCTTCAGGGATGACTTCTACTATCAGATATATTGTATTGGCAACCACATGTATACTGTTAAATTGAAATCGTATGGTATTACAGCATAAACAGCGAGTCGTTTCCGGTTTAAGTGTATTGCGAACGTTCACAAAAAGTTTCCATCATGTAATGCGGGTTGTGACCATCACAAAAGCCACATAGCGTTGAAAAATAGTTGATGAGGCAGAAGCATACATCTCACAAAATATGTGGCTTATAAAAAGAGAACTTTTAAGAACCTCCGCACGCGCTGTAATAGAAGGCAAAACACAAGTAGGATCGAAGGGTTCCTTGTTACAGTTTTATGAGTTTCCGTTCGTTCCAGTCGTCAGGTGTTAAACTGTGAGTCGCGTCCTCCGATAGCGTCAGATTGACGTCTTCAAGTGAAAAGATTACGCATACTTCGAATCCACAATTTCTGCGTCGGTCATGCTGCTCCACGGAACGAACATCAAACACTAAACAGAATGATCATTAAGCCAACAAGGCCAATTCTTTGCAATGTTTGTCAGGTGCGCTCATTTCACATGTACGCCGACAAGAGTATGCTCCTTTAATTAAAGAGCTTATCAATCTTCTACCTGCGCAACCGCAGATGCTGCAGAGCAACTATTCGTCCCTCTACCTGAAGAACCTGAGTGCCCTGAGTGCAGGCGCTTACCGCTGCGAAGCCAGCTCCGATGCTCCGCCTTTTCTCACGGTCCAAGACGAGAAAAGGCTTGCGGTGTTTGGTATGTATGCGCAATACCCAAGAGGCTACTGCACCTCCAATTTATTTATTTTGCCCTTAGAGTATTCTTGCAGACAGCCGGAGTCGTGGCAGACAACAACGTTTCCATTTCCGTTATATATTTAATTAGGTTACTCAATTTCTATGCAGTGTGAGAACCTACGTTACGCAAAACATTTGGCAGATTACTGACTGTGCAGCTTCGCGTAGCGATGCGCACTCGTGTTAACATATTGCGCAATGTGTCCTCGCAAAGCAGGTAATTGTACGCGTGACAAGTGCAGTTGTGTCACACAAATACAAGACCATCGTGGCAGACGAGATGCATGGTTGGTTGCCCGGTCGGTCGTTCCTTAGTAAGCCTGCACAACCCACTGCGGAGGATCGGCCATGAAACAAATGGTTCCTTGTTTCAGATATTGAATTGTTTTGTATTTCATATATGTTTAGAGACAGATAACGTACACAGTAACTCATTGGCCAAATCAAGGAGCGAAAATAATGACAAGCCTATGGTTGAAAAACAAGCTGGAATTAGATAAACAGAACGCTAAATTCGTTTCTCTTCACAAATAAAATCATACACGGCATCACAGACGTCTATTTATTTATTTAAAAAGTACCTGCAGCACCTGAAGGCATTCTTGCAGGGGGGAATACAGAACGTAAAATACGCTTACACAAAAAGAAATATTCATAAACAAGATGGTCACACAAACAGATCATAAAAATGCAGCTATGACAGTAGCAATATGTCCCTAAAAGATGTTTCAGTGCGGCAGTCTGCAACCTCCTGTGGGAGCCGATTCCACTGGGAGATTGTGAGCGGAAAAAAGGGGTTTTGATGAATGTTTGTTCTGCAAAAAATTCTCCTCCTTTTATGGGGTGGTCAATTCTTAGAAAAAATTTGGGAGTTGAAAGGTAAGATTCTTTATCTATTTTGATCTACCCATGAAATATTTTGAATAGCATTTCTAATCTCAAGCGTTTCCTACGTAATACCAACAAATCTCACCCTAACCTATCTTCAAGTGCAGTGACACTGACACTGAAGTTGTAGTTGCCCATCACATAACGAGATGCGCGGTTTTGGACGATCTCAAGCATATTAGACAAAGTTTTTGTTTGTGGGTCCAACGCCTCAGAGGTGTACTCTAAGATAGGTCGGACGTTCCCGTGAATAAAGCCCAGTTCAGTAGCACCAAAGAAAAAAGCAACCAGGAATAATAAATTCAAGCACATCTGTCAGAAGGTTTCACCTAGAAATTGTTTTCTCTGGTTTGTAAACAAGTTTAATGTTAAAAATAAATGATCCAGAGATTCACTCTCATTGCAATAGAAACATAAATCTAACTGCTCCAGACCACACCCGTTCATGCAAAATTTCAGTGGGGGACCTCGGCATCATATGCCGGTAATTGGTATTTCTGCCCTTTTAGTGGAGCGCCATCAATTTCTGCTAGAATAATTGAGACGAAGAAACTCGGATATTTACGAAGGAGATTTAGCGAAGTAATCTGACGAGGCATTTTTTTTTTTCAAATCGCGCCGAAGAGACGAATGTCAACGTCGCCATATACAAATTGTGGGACTATCATGGGATGATACTGCGAGTGCATCTGCATTCACTTTTGTCACCTGGTACTTACACCATGCGAATAAGACGTAAATGTCTTGGAACTAAAATACTTCCAAGATATCTGACAAATTAGGGGCAGGTAATGAAGAACACGGCGATTTGCGTAAAGACAGCAATTTGCGTAAAGCTAGGACAATTTCAATTTCACGGGAGAAATAAGAAGTCAGGAAAACTAATTGAAGACCAGTCCCAAGATAATTATGCAATTCCCACTCCTGCTTTTTCTTCACTACGTGAAGCATCAGTCAATATTGCGATGTTTTTTCTGAATTTGAGAAATGGCCTTCTAAAAGACATTTAGGTATCTACTAGAAAAATGACAGCATTTCTTAGGAAATATATCGCCAAATAGCGAAAATGAATTCTGTGCACCTTAATCTAGACCACTGATCGGGAAAAATGTTGTCGGCTGATTAATAAAAGCATACTGACTCCTTCGTGGGGACGCATATAACTGTAAGAAGTTAAGCACTGTTAAGATGTAGAACCATGTGGGAAATAAAGACGGGCGCAATTATTTATGTAAAATATTATTTGCGACAAACTTGGTAAGCTCAAGACATAAACCTAATGATTTGCGTTTTAGAAAACCAAGAGAAAACCGATGCACCAGAATACAAGACGCAGCCGAACTCCAATATCGGGCGAATATACAAATAATAAATTGTAGTGAGCACATAACAACCTGACCGGTGATAATCAATGATGGTTATTTCCGAAAGAATGGCACAACCCATGGTGCACCACGTGGGATCAGCCACGAGGCGTACGACAGTAGAATTTGGGAGGGAAAATAAAGAAATAATAAAAGAAGAAAGAGACAGGAGAAAAATCGCAAAACTATGCGAAAAAGATATTCTAAAGAGAAACAAAACTATTTGTGATACTTTTAGTACTTTTAGTGCAATGCTACCTTAAGTTGAACATATGAAGTAATTAATTGATACAATTAAGGTGAATAGATAAACGAAAGCTAATGTTTAGATGTACTCATAGTATTAACATGGTACCCACTTTGATTATTTTAAATAATTTGATACAGCATCGTAAATGACCATGTTGCAGTGTCCCAGTGCTGACGTCCCCAGCGAGAGCAATGCCAATGTAGAAAGCTCAAGGTTACTTTTTTAAAGGTGGTTTCAGAAATATTTGCCTTAGGTTTTTATGTGTTCGACATTCCATAAAGAAATTCTCGGTCATTCCTGCTTCATTACAAAAGTTACATTGGGAGAAAGGAACGAATCCAGGCCCGTGTAAGTAAAAATGTAATGACGGTAGTCTGCATCGCGATTTTGTTAACGTAGCTTCCAATTGTCTTGTGCTGCTCTATGAGCTATTCCACCAATACCAAAGGTGCTGGGAAATTGTGTCGCTTAGCACATAGGATTCAGTACGTTCCTCGTGAATTCTGAATCGTGCGAACGTGTTATTGCGGGAAGGTCTTAGAATATTTAGAACAGGTCGTTTAATGGATGCTGCCGCTAGGGTGTCCGCCGCTTCATTTATTTCTAATCCAGTGTGACCTGCATCCCGAACCAGATGGACGTTTTGCACATAATTTGACATATACAAATAAAGTTCTGCTAGGCAGCTCGATGAGTGAAATGCTGTTAGAGCAGTGCACACGGAAAATAGGTCCGTTAGCACCACTACTAAAGGAAGGTGTGATGGGGGTAGACAGTGCAAGAATAAGTGTGATTATTTTTACCTCTAATATCGGTGTGAGGTCGGGCAAGCGAAGATAAAAGGACCAACTAAGATCCCTTGAACAGATTCCCACTCCACCCTTCACGTCAGTTACAGAAGCACGTGAGGCTACTACTGGATTTATCCGCACGCTCTTGAGGTAGTTTTCAAACAACCCTTTTAAATATCTGGTGGGTAATAGTTTAGCACTCTTTGAAAATATATCATCAAATTCTATCACCGCTGTGGCATTACATTTGTTGCTGCTGAGATCCTTCAACTTCGTCGTCTTCGTCATGGTCTCCTACAAGCATCGATGGCCATTCTCATTCGGTTGCTTCGTCTTTCTTTTTTTGAATTGCCTCACTTTCCATTTTCCCCTTTTCGAACCTTTCGCCTTTTCACGTGCATAACATCAAATTCTAAGTGCACCGAGGGGTACAGTACTAATTATAGATCAAATCTGGGAATGGTCTTTACATACCGCAACATTTTTTTACTTAAAGTTTTCTCTCACTTTCTCGCAGAACAAAGTGACATGAGACCACACATCACGTACGACAGGGAGTCTTACCAGGTGGGAGAGTTCGTGCGCCTCAACTGCACCTCCAGCCGGTCCAGGCCGGCTCCCAAACTGGCGGTGTACGTCAACGACCTCCTCTTGATCGACGCCGACGTCAGGACTAAAGTCGACACGCACCCGGACGGCTTCCAGGTGACCACGCTCTCTGCGAACATCCCAGTAAAGCAGCACGGCGTAAGCAGAGCCGCCCTGCGAGTCAAGTGCCAGGCCAGCTTCGTGGGCCTGTACGAAGCCGTGGGCGAGATGACCATTCCAGTTGGGCAGCATACGGGAGACCACAAGGCACCTTACCAGCACCAGCGTCCACAGCACAAGCAACCATCACAGCGACAGCCACACCTCGGTGCCCTCTCGTCGATACAAGACGAATGTCTCACCAAGGCTATGGAGATTCTGGCAAAGGCGTGGGCTGCCAACCAGTGAATAGAGTTGTACTTAAAGATGTTCTTCCTTTACTTACACTCATGGACGCGTAAACATTATTAGAGATAGGTATACTTGAGACTTCTGAACGTTTATAATAAAGCTGTAGAAAATTGTTTCCCAGTCATTGCGTTATTTATTTACAGCATGTTTTTACTATGCACACTTTATTCATAGGCCACGAAAGCGTCATGGTCACACCGCTTGTCATCTGAATTAATGTAAAGCAGCATGACGATGCTCTATTCACTTTCCTGGCGTACAAGAGACTAATTATCTGCACGTTCTCTACCAAAACAATGAGAAGTCGTGCAATAGGCTAACCGTTGCTTTCTCTTCACTACAATTACCACAGTCGTCGAACTGATTTGATGTAACTCTGCTATTACTCAGGCCCTCGCTTTTTTACTCTCATTCGCTGCTTCAGGGTATCAGATCACAGCAAAACATTCTCTGGCTGACACGTGCGCCTTCACGTAAACGATGTCTTTTTCATCACCCCAACGACAAGTATCTTTTTATGTGATTCTTAAGAGAGAATAGAAGATAAAAGTGAGCCCCATAACTGTCTGCGTCACAGTGCGACACGTCAACAGTAGCGCACAGAGGATGGGGGCAAGGAGGGATATAAAAGGATAGGATTAAAAGTACAAAGATATAGAGAGGGAAGGAGAGAGTGTGGCACAGGGACAGTGACACCCAGAAGCAAGGAGAAGGTAGGAAAGATGGGCACGGTCGCAGAAGTCCGAGGACGGGGCACCACTCGGTGAGAGCTCTTGTCGACGTTAGAAGATGGCGTAGGGCGAGCCAGTCGGTCAGAACTTCGTTGTCGTCGGAGATCGCGGGGGCACAACCGGTCGGTACGAAATTCAGAGAGCGAGTCGGCAAGGAACGCAGCCATGACACAGAGACGGTCCAGCCGGATCGCGAGAGATTGTTTCCCGGAAAGCTTGGCGACAGAGCGCGCGTGTAATTTGGCTGTATTGCTCAGCCACATCGGTTCAACGGTGCCTGAGGCGCGCCTATACTAAATGAGGCTGAGGAAGAACTAACAATACTAGATAATAAATTAGGTGACATTGAGTCCCAGTGGAATTTAGTTAACGATGATTCAATTAGGCAGTTTTTACGTCACAGCCAGTACATGGTAATACGAAATATTTGCAATATCTTAGAAGAACCGAGTGTTGGCTGAGTTGGCTTTCTATGTGAGAGGCATTTTGCACCAAAAAGAAAACTGACAAGAAAGGACCACAGACAGGCGCAGACTAACAACTTAAGTTCATTTAAAAAAAAACACATATAAAGGGAATATCTGCGGAAATATCCAATATCTGTGTATTTTTCATTTCGGACAATATGCCTCGTCAAACGCGAAAAACGGTCGGCGTATCGCAGCGTCGGCGTTAACGCGAGTGATGCAGGGAATCACCGTATGATGACATCACAATATTACGTCATCATGACGTCACTAAATTGCCACATCGCGTGACGCCACATGACGACGTCATCGCATGAGATCGTCGCTTAATGAAAGGTGGGCCGCCGATCACGAAGGCAGTGCGACACCAGGTGAGGTGCAAAAAGTTTTCCAAACCTCCGATCTTGGGGGCACTGCAGATTTACCGGAAGCTTTCCGTGCGTATAGCGAGGCACTATCAATACACCGACTAAAAAAGATGTGTTTCGCTGTCGAATCATCCTATATAAGAGAGAGAGAGAGAGAGAGAGAGAACACAAGGAGCAATGCAGGGAGGTTAACCAGGGCTGAGCCCCGGTAGGCTACCCTGCACTGGGGAAGGGGAGATGGGGAAGGAAAGTTATAGAGGAGGAGAAAAAAGGTCACTGACTGGGCCGAAGCGTAACAGTTTCACCATCACAAACGATGAAACAGGCCGGTGTCTTTGAGAAAATGCAACAGTTTCGTTGCCTTTCGGAAATTGGATGGGCAGTGCCATGGTCTCAATACTTTCTCGACAGTGAAAACACTTCTGTCGAGTTGATTTAAAACACTGCGCAGGTGAAGCCTCTCGTTTGTGTATGCCGGTCAGTAACATAAGATGTGTTCAATAGTCTCATCGACGGCGCAGGCGTTGCACTCCACACTGTCGGCCATCCCTATCTTAAATGAGTAGGCATTGCTGAAGATGCATAAAGAAACCTGTGATATTTTTTACTTTTCGTGGAGCACCTAAAATGAGGACTCTACCTACGCCCCAGGTTTTGTCGAACAACCTGAGGTTTCTTCTAATTAATTATTATAGCAATAGCTGCCGGCGACATATATCTATAGTGGAGCGGTTGACCCCTCATGATCCACTTTCCCAAATAGAGTGTGACGCGTTGGTCGGAAAAAAGAGAAAATTAAAAAATACTCATAAACACAAACTAATAATTATTGTTAATGTGTGTGAGTGTGCGCGCGCGTGGTTGTGTGCATGGTATAGGTTGGATAATGAGAATTAGCTGCATCTGCATCAGGTGACTGCATCTGCTGCCGGCGCAGAAATAGATGGAACACTTGGCATTAAACAGTTTTAGATTAGGATCTCTTAGGCATCGGGAATTTCAGAATCACGAGCGTTGAAAAGAACGCCAAACAAAACCCGTCATCATCACCATCATTATTATCATTATTATTATTATTATTATTATTATTATTATTATTATTATTATTATTATTATTCTCACAACGCGTCCACTACAGGGCAAATGCCTCTCCCATGTTTCCAGTGTTTCATGTCGTCCCGTTATAAACCCGCAAACTTATTAATCTAACATGCCCACCTAATTTTCTGTCTGCACCCTGGCCCACTTCCCGTCTCTTGTAGTCTAGCCTGTTACTCTGCATGTATAAAACAGGGCACAAAGCCACACAAGAAACTCACAAATGAGGTAATAGAATGAGTTGCTGGGCGAGTTGATGCATTGGCTAAAAAAAATTGAAGTAGATTGCAAAAAAAAAGCTAGACACTGGAAACAGGTAGAACGCTCGTTCACGTCTACTTATCTCCTGTGTCTTGTCTTTTTTGCACTCTACTTTAATTTTAATTTATTTTTACAATTTGAGTTTCCATGGCCTGACAGTTTGTATATGTTCTAATCTAGCACTCTGGTAATTCAGGTAGTGTGTGTAACACGCACGGTGTCGGATCGGAGAACACAAGGCGCTGTGCAGCTGCGTTATGAAGCCTACAAATTTGACCACACTCGCAGGTTTAAACGCCGCTTGTAAACCATAGCCTGTCACCTCATTTAGTATCGGATGCCTGCAACCACGCCATGAGACAGCGCACCACGGGTACCACCTCTAAATCTCAAAACGAACACGCGAGACCCCAAGGACGCCTTCAAGCTGCACCTTGGACACACGAAAGGAACCGAGTGACGTGGTCGACAAGCTTCATCAGGCGCATGCGCGACGGTTCGGTAAACGACACCATGAGAAAATGTGTCCCGACGAACGCCAATTTCGCAACTTTCGGAGCTTTTCTTCTTTTTTTCTTCTTTTTTTTCGCACAGGCGGGTCACTGCTGTCAAACTTGCATGCATAGCACTTCTCGCGCCCGTGCCGACGGGCGAGATTTACGGCTCGCCCCGTTCGTACGCTGCCTTCAAGAAGATCTCCCTACGTCGACTGCATGGAAGGCCGAGCTTCGTGGTCGGCAACACAGACCACGTATCTCATGTTACAGCTGACAGCAACGCTGAAACTCACTCCGGCACGTATACCGCACCGGCCCGAGTTTAAGCGACCAGAATAACTCGAAGCATGCGTAGGCCAGTTGGCTACAGATTGCCTTGCGTTGGATTACACTGCGACGTATTATAATGGTGAAATCGGTTCTCACTTGAGCAAGATTGGCTTGAAAGAGCACTAAAGAGCAATATATAAATATCTGTGTACAGGTAAAGTATTACATTGTATGGACTAAGCTTTAACAAAAATGCGTTTTGAGGTCAACAGTGATTCAATTTGATTGTCCTTCTTTCCGTGTAGTAAAGTTGTTTGGGCTAGCAAATAAGCCGTAGTTACTAACATTCTTTATAAAAAAATCACAGCATATTCACGGAATATAAATGATGATGAGTGGGGTGCAGCGTTCGTCCATTTCTCCGTGCGTCTGTCTGTCTGTCTGTGTGTCTGTCTGTCTGTCTGTCCCTCCGTTCGTCAGTCCGACCATGCATCCGTCCATCTGTCTGTCCATCCGTCCGTCAAGTGAACACTCCAAGTCCCGCCATCTCGCACCCTTTCATTATATATTCATCATATACAAGTACCGCCATCCAGCGGACATTCTAAGGACTAAACGAGAGGTGGCTACTCTGACAACGACACAGGACATGTGACCCACGGCGTAACGAGCTTCGCCCCTAAAGTTCACATCTTTGCCACCAATGCCAAGCAATGAACGCGATAGCAACAAATTAGAAGGTCAAGCGCAAAATGACAAGCACATGGAAACGTGTCCCGAGTTTTTCATGCACAAATCAAGTCAAGTCAAGTCAAGTTTATTAAATGGTTCAGCTGAGTTAAATGGTTAGCGTTATTACAGCAGGAGGTCCCAAAGTTTCAGAGAAACTGACAGGGGGACCTCCTATGGCTACATGGATGGGGTAATTACAAAAAATACAGCAATAGTATACGGACTTGTGAGTAATAATGAATAATCTTGATTAACAATAGAAAATACGATCAATACACAACATAATGGTAATACTCACTATTGAAAAATAACAAGTAAATAGTCAAAAGCAAGTGAAGACAAAAAACAATATTAATGAACTCTACGTGACAAATGCAACACGTTTCATTATCAGTGTTATCAATTATACAAAGGCAAATTGAAGTAGTAAAATAGCACAGAACTGTGGAGAGCTATTAACAGTTAATTACACAAATCGGATGAGTTGATTAATTCCTGAACGTAATATTTCTTACTGCGCGAAGTGAAAATATGGATGTTATGCGATGATTTCAATTCGAAAGGCAATGAATTCCAAATGGCTATGCTAGTAAATAAGGTTGAGAACTTGCCGTAGTTTGTCCTTACGGCCGGCAAAAGAAGATTATTGCACTGGGAAAACCGGGTGATGTTACCATTAGTTAAGTGACGATGATC